GTCTTCTTAGAAAAGATCATCTTACCTAAGCTTGTTGATGGTTTACATTCTCATCCCTGACTACCTAAATGCTACCTATCAAGCAACAGCTCTTAAGGTGGCTGAGGTGGGAGATGTGTGTGTGTGTCTGTGTGTGTCTGTGTGGGTGTGGGTGCGTGTGTGCATGCTTGTGTGCATATGTGTTTGTGGGGAGGTTATTTTTACTTATGAGACTACATGTATACATATATGTTGTCTCCATCTTTGAGACTATGGGGAAACCCTCATCCCTACCTTCCTGACATTCCAGGTTTGGTTTGTTGTTGGAACCTTAGGAAGAAAGGTAGATAACTGCTCATGCATACCTTGGGGGAAAAACAGAAATGCAGAAACAGTGTAAGTAAACAGGGTAGGAAAGCCCTGTCCTGAATATGGGCTGCATCATAAATTACACGCATAATCTGAAGTAAACAGACAGAGAAGTAGAAAACAGCCATTCATATTTACTGGATACATTCTGGGGTGGTATATTTTGTTGCCTCTGTCTTGGCTGTGGGTTCATAATTTGAGCATCTTGTATGTTTGAATCTTTAATTACATCAGACAGGTTTCTAGGCTTTCAGCCTCAGGCCTAGGTTGCTGTACTTTTCGTTCTTTCAGCTTTTAGGAAAAGGAAATGATGTCCTAGTTGTGCAGTCTGTAGAAGGCAATATCAGGCCTTCAACAAGATTAATATGAGACAGGCTGACTCCATGACAGGTTTCAGATTGTCACTCTAGGAGATAAGGCCTATGAACTGAGCAAGTCCAGGCAAGTCAAGTAAAAATGTCCCAGCCACCTAACCTGAATCAAGGACATGGGTCAGCAAGTGTCCAGACCTCATCAGTAACAGATTCCAGCCTCCATGTCCTGGTAATGGAATATCCCTAATGATGGAGTAACATAAAGGACACCTACCCTGAACTCCTCAGTAACAATTTACAGCCCCCATGCCTTGGTAATGGAATGCCCTTAGAGATGAGGTAAGATAGAGTTCACCTACCTTGGAAGTCTCTAACTTGCTTTATATCTAGCCTTCGAGCTCATTTGGTGGTCTCTCTATCCCGGATATGGGGAGAACCCAGTATGCTGGACTTCAGCAGAATAAAACACTCTGCATTTACACATTTCTCTAGTCTGGGGTGTCATTATTCAGGGGATAATGGACCCTTACAATAAGTAGCTATCGAAACTTTGTAAATCTGAATTGAACTTCTGTCATCAACTTTCTCTAGCCCTCTAATATTCCGAGCAGCTACCTCTGCAGTCAGGTGGTTTTGATAAAGTCATATTCAACATCACAACTATGATCATCCTATGTGCTATCAGTGCTGTGTTTTATAAAAATACAAAGAGAAGAAATCTGTTTGGTGGATGTGCAGTCAGGTGTGGGGGAAGGGTGCGCCTTTGAGGGCCTGTGCAGAGGCATTACTTCCCCAAGAGGGACCAGCCACACAAAGGTATAATAGTTTATTCAGGGAAGGGGAGAGGAGTTGAGAGGGTAATAGAGACAGAGAAATGAAGAGAGAGAAAGCAGAGGAGTAGAGGTTGTAAGAGGGAGGGGAGGGGGACTAGGAGAGAGGGGGAGCAGGAGCAAGGGGACAGAGCATGAGTAGGAGAGCAAGAGAGAGAAGAGGGGGCAAGCAGCACCTTTTATAGTGAGTCAGGCACACCTGGCTATTGCCAGGAAACTCTTTGGCAGAGCCTCGACAAAATGCCAACATTCCTGTTTTGGATTAACTGAAAAAGGAAAAAAATTAGAAAGAGATGATGGTGGAGCAGGAATAGGTCATCATGATCTTTAGCTACTTCCTGGTGACTTTTGGGTTATGTGTCTCTAGGAAACCGAAGAAAATGAGAATGGTGATGTTGGCCCAGTCTTAGCAGAGTTGGCTGTTTCTTCGCTGTCCAGGGTCTATGGAACCATCAGTGGATATATATAGACAGAGCAGGTCCAGTAGAAACATCTGTGTGTGAGAGTAGACTGGGACATTTGAGGGTTGATTTTCTGGAGCTATCCTGGTTATAGTAAACACCTAGACTGGGCAAGATACTGAAACACACACATATATATTATGGGTAGAGTATAAAGTTAAGTACTAGTGGGAGAAATTTTTTCCCTTAGGTGTACATTTGAAACCCTTATATCTTAATGGTTGGGGGTGAATCTTAATTTCAGGACATAGGAGAGGAATCCCACCCTCTGAAATAGGTAGGTGTACTTATCTGGACAGAGGCTATTTGGTCCATGAGATGTAGATCTGAGTGTGTTTCCTGTAGCTTATTAGTTTAGAACAGTGATAAATCTGTCAACAAATGTAAGATGAGCTTACAGAAGGCAACAACCTTTTGCGGAGCAGATACAACAAGAAGGACTTTTTTCCTTCTGTCTAGGAGACTGAATAAACATAAGGAGAAACAATTTTAAGTTTATAATTGAGAGACAAAGGAAATTCAAAACCTTGACCTTGTGAATACAATTGATCATATAGCAAGAGAAACTCCTTCAGTCTATAGTTAAAGTACAATCAAATGAAACATATATTTTAGTATGATAGCATATAGTATAGATTCAGCATGAAAATACTTTACCTTTAGTTAAAAGATGAAGAAAACTTAAAATTTGAATTTGTGATTATATGGTTGGATTGTATACTGGAATGTTTTATTAGGGTTAGGCAAATGCAGAAGAACTCAAATAATGTTAGGACAGTGGCATAGCAAGAAGAGGAAATATGAGGCATTTAGTTGCTGGAAACTGACTTTAGGTAAGGAAGTAAAGGGTTACATTTTTAAAAGCTTATATCTGAACTTGTGTATTGTTTATCATGAAGCCTGTGTGCAAGAAAAACCTGTCTGTCTTTGATAAGAAATCTGGTAGTCTTAGCTAGTGAACCAACTTACTAATGAGAAAATATAGTGGTGGATTTCCTTAGGGTAAGGAACTAGATCTGTTTTCTAGCAGTCAAGCTATGGTTACCTTAGCTGTCAATGTAGTCACAAATCTGGGGAAGAATACATTTTAATCTAGAAGTCATGTATTAAATGTACTAAAATGACAGAGTTCGTCTATAGTCCACTACCTAAACAGTTCTCAGGTCCCTGTGGTCTCCATGGCAACTTGGGCAGTCTCAGTCTGGCTTTCAAGCACAGAAGACAAAAGCTTTTTCTCTGTGGAATAGATATGTGAGAAATGAGATATGATCCACCTTGTCTTAGGCAATATGAGACATTTGACTCTCAGGCTATCCTGTTTTGTCCACAGTGTACACCAAATCCTGGCAGTGGGCAAGGCAATGGCAGAGTTTCTCAGTGGTAATCATACCACAATCTAGGCAGTTTCTTGTATCTGTGTCCATTATCTTCTTGGAGTCCTCGAGGAGGTGGGGGTGGGGTGTTACTGTTAGGGTTTTGGGAGTCTCTGTCATAAGCTTGAATGTTAAAACATTAGCAGACTTCTGACAAGATTGAGAACAGTATCTATTGGTCATATCTGAGTTAGACAACTTGTGTTTGTTAAATTACTTGTTTGAGAATATGTATAGTAAATAAAACATACTATAACTTAACCTGGACCAGATTGGAAAGAAACCAGAAATCTGACAGGGGCAGCATTAGCTGTGGGCCTGGACAGAAACCAAGTGTCTGGGCAGGTTCAGCCACTTCATGGACTGAGGAGGCAGGGATGCAGACCCGTTTCCAGCGTGTGTAAGAGCAGCTCGGACAGCCAGAGGACCTAGTTGTGGTGACTTGGTGAAGGCAGCAGCAGGTAGCCTCTCAGTATGGGGAACAGGAGACAGGCACCAATATATGTGTAGCTGAGGCACCAGGCATGCGCTCAGGCAATGTCTGGTGACTTGTGCCTGAAGACAGCAAGGAACCAAAATAGGCCAGATAGTATGTGTTGGCTGTTGCTGAGCCACTCAGCATACTTCATTCCCTCCCCTTCCCTGCCCACCACCCTTGCTGTCCCCAAGGTGGCCAGAGATGACAGTAGTGACAGGAGAAGTGGCAACCCAAGGCTGCATTCTTGGCAATACAGCATGCAAGCAGGGCAAGCAAAGGTTGCTTTTCTTTCTGCTGCTGCTGCTGCTGCTGCTGCTGCAGACCTCCTGCCCATGACACAAAACGCTGGGTGGCAGCATTTCGGGGGGGGGGGGGGGGGGGGCAATGTGTTTTCCAAGAAGAGTCACTAAACTTTCATTATGCTTTCAAACAAACAAATTTATTGTGAACAGAACCAGAAAACAGGTGAAGTTGCTGCAAAAGTAACATGAACTGACACCAGGTCTAACGACCATAGGAAGACCCCATGGCAGCGGGGACATCCCAGTTCAGTCCAGTTGAAGCTCTCAGGCCAGGCTGAGCTTGTCAAAGAGGTACTCGGCCAAGCCATTCTCCGGTGCCCCCATCTGGCGCAGGTTGGTCAGGTAGCCGCCCATCTTCTTGAGGACATGGACCTGCTCATCCAGACAGTGTTGCTCCAGGAAGCCGCAGAGGTGAGAATCACCCTTTCCCTTGGCCAGCTCGTGCAGGTCGAGCAGGCTCTGGTTGATGGTCATCTCCAGGCAGAAGGCGCATTCCATGGCCTGGAGGCCCCCCTGCCAACTGCTGCGGTCTGGTTTCGCGATGCTGGGCAGCAAAGCATGGCCACCACGCTTATTCTGCAGGAACACGAACATCTCCACAGCGGCCTTGCAGTCGTGTGACTTGCTCAGGAAGAAACGCTTGAAATTCTCCAGGGCTACGTCATCACGGTCAAAGTAGAAGGCCATAGACAGGTACACATAGGAACCATAGAGCAGCAGCCGGATATGGGTGTTGACTGCATCCTCACAGGAGCTGTCATAGTTCTGTCGCACTAGGGAAGGTTCTTCGGCCATGGCGGCCACTTGAACACAACCACAGTCTCAACAGTACCTGTAGCTGCTCAGAGGGGCAGAGCGGGCTCAAAGGGCAAGGGCCGGCTGTCCCGGAGTCCCTCCGAAGAGAGGAAATGTCCCAGTGGAGCAGAGAGCAAGCAGAGGCCTCAGGCGGCTCCGAGGGAGCCCAGCGTGCGCCCGGCGTGCCTGCGTGCTTCCGTGCGTGCTTCCGTGCGTGCTTGCGTGCTTGCGTGTGATTCCGTGCTTGCGTGCTTGCGTGCTTGCGTGCTTGCGTGCCTGCTCAAGCGCGAGGTCTCACAGGAAATATTGGTTGGCGCCTGATGATGACATCAGACATCATTTCAGCACCTGGGCTGAGAGAGGGGAGGGGCCGGGTCAGGAGTGATGAGTTCCCTGGCAGCGCCCCACTCCTGGGCCCCGACTGACTGACCTACACCATGTACCACTGTATGGACAGTCTGCAAAGTTTTAGACTAAATCCTCTGGAGGCTCTATAAAGCAGTTCCTCTGCATAAGCCTAAATGTTATTCCTTTCCACTTTCTGCTCTTTGTTTCCTTACAAAAAGTTTGTATCAGGATGCTTCATTTGAAGGATTTCAACTACTGTTCACCTGACCCTTTTAAAAACAGAGTCAAGGGTCAGGTTGAAAGGTCGTCAGTGCTCAGTTCCATCAGTAGACTAGGCAACTCTATGATGACTTTCGCATCCATATAAGACGTCAAAATAGAAGATTTTTAAATCGTTTGGTCGGGGGAGTACAGTAGTAGTTGTTGTTGTTTTATGGATGAGGAGGGTACCTGAAAACTAGAAGCTTTGATGCCTCTCTGTGGATAGTACAATTATTCGTGACAACTCACCACCATCCAACATTCTTTTTACTTCCATTGCCATTGAAGTAGCTTTTAGTTGTTTATAATCTATTATCCAAAGGTGACAAAAACGAGCATTAGGAATGCAGCTTGGTCATTATGCATATATGTGGAACATTTCAGCAATCTTTTAAGCAGAGGCTAATATTGCACTGAATTCATTAATATACAAAAGTAAAATGGATTTAGAAGTCCATTATGTATAACCTAATTTTTCTATGTCGTATGTAACAATATATTTGTCTACTTTACAGTAGTTTTTATTCTGGAAGGAACATATAGTAGTATACTAGGATTTTTTTTCTTTTCCTCTGATTTTAGCCATTTCTCAAAATTTACCAGCTACTTTAGGGCCTTTATGTGGTTTCTGTTGGGAATGTCAATTATTACTGGTTTAAATGTATGCATTGAATTTTGAATCAATAAATAAGAGGTGTACTTGAGAAAGCAATAAAATTTCTAAATGTAGTTTATATATATTTCTGTAGAAATTCTCCTGTTATCCTATATAGCCTTTTAAAAATATTTATTTTACATTCATGCATGTTTGGTCAAGTCTATGTATGTGAACCATGTTGGCCACAAGTGCCTTGTGAGTCCATGAGAGCATACTGGATCTTCTGGAACTGGAGTTACAGGTAATTGTGAGTTGTCTGGTGTGGGTTCTAGCAATCTACCTCAGCCCTCACTTAAAAGCACCTAGTGCTATTAACCACTGAGGTATCTTTCTACCCTCATGCGTAGCTTTTTAAGTTTGTGGATTCTTGTCTTATGTCTGTAAAAAAAAAACAAAAAACAACAAAAAAAAAAAACCTGTAATCTTGAGGCCCATGGAATTTAGTTATGCTACCTGACTTATTAAGTTAGGTATGTCAATCTTTTTTTTCGATTTTTACACAACTTTTTCTTTGGGTGTTCTTAGCAAAGCATGATGTTCAACTGTCTCATTTTAAGCTTATAAGATTTATATTGCATAATATATTTTATATATAATACAATTATATTACATGATTATGTTACATATAATCATATATGTGATATGTAACACATATCACATAATTTATATGATTATATACAATATACTCATAGTAATAATAGGATATAAATTATGTTATATCGCATAAAGATCCCTTAATTTTTTTGGTGAATTGGACGCATGTCTAATAAAGATTTGTGGTGCTGTTTTGTGTTGTATTGTGAAAAATTCAATAGTTGGTGAGGCTGACTTTGTGTTTGTTCGTGGAAATAGAGTAGTATTCAGTGTACCATGTATTGGTGTGGCTTATTATAAAATAGTTATTTACATCCTCCTGTCAAATTTAAACCCTTAACAACTAAACTTTAAGATGATTACTTATCTTTCCTCTGGCCTGACATTCACTGACTGCCAGGGAATATATGACTCCAATTCTGTGGGTTACTGAGGAATGTGGAAGGTAATTGAAGAGATTCCAGTCTACAAAAAATGGAAGCTCTATTATATGTAAGATCAATGTAAACAAAACATGGTACAAAGGCACAGTAGGTAGGAATCAAACTATACAAAGAATTGGCAACTCAGCATGCTTCATAACCACAAGCCAGGCTTTCATGATAGGATGAACATACTACAGGCATTTTGCTGGCAATTTACCCTTAAAATCAACATCTCTGTGATTTGGTTCATGTAGACCAACTATTGTTGATTTTTCTGGTAGCAGCTGTCCTATGGAAAGAGCATAGGGGAGTTTGGTGACAGGGAAGAATATGATCAAACTATATTGTGAGCAAAATATTTTCTCAATTAAAAATATATATATATAATCTAAAAAAGAAACTCCCACCTCTTTCTTTTCAATTTGGAGAAGAACTTTAAGAAATCACCGTTCATGGATCGGCATTGATTGGAACAATGTCATAAGGTGTTTAATGGGAAGAGATGAAAGTAGAAATTGTATTTGTTAAATCTGAGGGAAAGACTGGAGAATCTAAGTAAACTTCTTGCTTTAAAATGTTCACTGTCTCTTAAGTCCTTCACCAAATATATTCTTGCTTCTCACTTATTAATTTTTATGTTGTAGTTATAAAACATGATGCCCTTTTAGAAAAAATAAAATAAACATGGATTAGACTCAAATGCAAGTGTTAAACCAAACTTAAATCATAACCTCATTACTAGACAGGAAAGAAACAGAATGAATATAAAGGAAAAGAAAAGCACACTGGCAGAAACTATATGCAATTCAAATGACAACTATATTATTGGCTTTCACATCACAAGTTCAGGCTAAATGCAAAGAAAGGCAAGTGAGCACATTCACCATAACACTTTCTGCACAAAAGGAACCAAAGAGTAAAAGGTACCAAAGGTGATTGCACTGGACACCTGCAGACTCTGTGTGAGATAGAGGTTTATTCTTGAAAATATCAAATACATTATCAGCATATGCATGTAAATAGAATGAAAGACAATGTGCATTTCTTTGAAGATGTGCTTCACACATAACAGAAAAATTGACATTGTAAGCACTAAAGTGTACCTGACATTGAATTTACTATATGGGAAGAATCAAGGCTGTGATATGCAAGAAAGGAAAATAGCTGCCCATCATCTTACCTACACAATTCAATACTGGATGATAAAAAAATGATTTATGCAATTACTTCATTACTATTTAAATTTATAGGAAATTATGCACATCTCCTTTTGTTCAGTACAATTACAGTATTTTGAGATTTACCCATTTTGTAAAATGACACCACTGAGTCTTTTTTATCAGAGTCTTTCTATTTTTAATGAATGGTTTTACATACTTTTACAAATGATTGTTATAACAGTGTCAAGGAAAGACTATGTGAGGAAATTAAATTCTAACATTGTTCTCTCACTGAATAGAATATCAAAAATATTCTTGAGGGCAGAGTATAAGTTCATTGAGAAATATTTCTGAATGTTAGGAATTACATTTGTGGTTGTGGTGCCAAAGAGAGTGTTCACTCAATGCATCTCAAATGCAAAATGAACAGAGGACACAGTCAAGTAAGGTGGTAATAAGAAAATCTTTTAATCAAGTTCCTTTCCGTCATTTTCATAATCGTCATCATCCATTTTTTGCAGAATCGTTTCATATTTTTTTAATACACTTGGTATAGGAGTACTAACAGAGTCATAATTCCATCCCTTTTTCATAAAAAACTTCTGGAGTATTCCTGGCATATTATAGCCCTTCTGTACAATGAAATCCTTAAAGGCAATTGCTCCATAGAGATTTTCAAGTGTGTCTGGTTTGCAAACTCTTTTACCTTCAATATCAAGCAAGTCCTTGGGGCCATTTAAAGGCTCTTTTACGGCCTGTGTTTTCAATTGCTTCAGTTTCTGGTATGATGGTCCATATTTAAACTCCTCCTTGGTGGACATAGAAAGATCATGTGGCGTTTGGACTTCCATCTCAAGTTTTGGTATCTGTTTGGTGAATTTAACTCCTTTTTCTTCGGTTAATCCTCTGAAGTACTTAAGCTTAGAAGGAATATGACTGTTTACTTTGTCTGAGGATTCATCATAAGTTGGTTGGTTAGCATAGTC